TCAAAATATTCGGTACAGCTATCTGCTAATTTATTTACAATCACAGGTTAATCAGAAAATATGGTCTTCATATTATGGTATATTTAAAATTTTCAAAAATCAGATTTTGAATAGCTGCATGGTGAATCACCCAAACGCATAATAACAATAATCGTATTTGTCAACAAACATCCATTGACGTTCCTTGGAGTTTATTAAGTACAGGTAGGAGGACAGGTTTCATCAAACACACCTATATTATACTGAGATATGTGGTTCTTTCGATATAACCAAGGTGGATAATGGATGTATATCCACCTTGGATATAACATAACGTATTTATTATCTATAGGGTTTGGCATATTCGGTTGATATCGTCTGCCTGATGGGTATTCGTCCACAACTTATAGCCGCCAGTTGTACGAAAACAAACCGGTATAGGCGCGATTTGGTAAACGTTTCGCCAATATTATTGTCCATTATCGCGGCACAACAGACGAGCAGAGTATGTTTCTCGCATTCGATCGATGCAGCTATATTTGGCGAGCATTGAAAATTCGGCGCAGGTCGCACAATAACAACTGTTTACCGGCCATGGTAATGGATATAGCGGAAATACACCGGTGGCAACAGCGCCTGCCATATGATTATCATCATACCTACTTCTTTTATAATAACAATAATATTATTATTACCATAATAGTATTATTTTATTTTTATCGCTAAGCGGCGGACAATTTATAATTCGGTTTCACTTGCACCCTCGCTGATTACGGCGGCTGCTGCTTTGAGCTGCTGCAGCAATAATAACGGCGGTGGCATGCCCACCATTAAATTATTATTATTATTATTATTACTATTATTGTTACTGTTATTATTGTTATTATTGTCCTATATTTCTGTAAGATTCGTTGCCACGCGATAACCGAAAATCATTTCTGACGGTTTATCTACGAGGGATTTCCAGCGGCTATCACACGCACCGCGGGCAACCCTTAACACAGCACCGCGAATGCGATTGCCTTGTACATATTTCATTATATTATAATTACGACTACTGCCTATGGAGTTTGTATTTTGTTAGCTTTTTTTCGATTGCTCACCCATAAAGTGAACCTCCGCTGTAGATATTTACGTTGTTACGTAATATTCAACACATACTCATCAACGTGAGGTTAATACGAAATCTAATTTTCATTATTCACATTCTTAGGTGAAAGACTAATTTTTACAAAATATTATATAAATCTACGTGTGTAATACTCTCGTATGTGTATTTGAAATCGCTGAACGGATGGTGAGGTGTGGCGTTGTACGACTCACGGCAAAACAGTTTTTTTTCCTTTCCCGTTAGTGCGTATACTTGTTACTTGCCAACAAGTTCGAGACAACTTTTTCCAAGTAGATTTCGGTAACCTTTCCCTCCTTAATGGTCATGTTATATTATTTTGCAGCTTTATTCCGCACCCCGAATAAAAGAAATCTCGAACTCCCTGTTGTGATACCTCCCAGTCAAGAGTGCACGGCCACATAATAATATTATAATGTAAGGTATAATGTTATAAAATCATGAATCGTATCGGTCGGCGATTACAGTTGACGAGGTGAATTTTATCCACATCAGACATCCGTACAATGTATAATACTGCTGTGATGGTGCTATGATTTTACATATTAATATTTTTTCATCGTTTATTTACCGTCTGTATTGGCCGCACGCCACACCGCGCCGGAACTTATATACATTATATTATACCTTCTCGTTCGCCGTTCTTTTATTTTCGAGACAACCGCGAGCAGTTTGCGGCAGCAATAAATAATGAACTGTCTCATCATGTTGGGGAAATACATAGAAAAGGGTATAAATATACCGGTATGTATAGTATAGATACCTTAAAATATAAAACGCGTTGTGTAATATAAGACCGAAATCCTAATTGAAAATGATATCGTGCCGATTGGAATGACCGGACAATCGAATACGCGTGTCCAAGGTTTATGGTGTTTCTTTTTTTTTTTTTTTCTTTAATCGGAGTGTGCCGTGTGAAGTTGGTGTGAAGTTTATAATAGAGTAGGCACTCGCACCGTCACCCTCGCCCCATTATACTGACGCAGAAGAAAGAAGCAAACCTCCGAACTTTCTGGCCTCTCGAGTTCTCGCCGACCCTGTCCGCTATCGTATATCATTTTATTAATAGGCACCGAACACGCGATATCGTTTAAATGTATTATAGGTATACGCGTGTAAATCTTTCTCGTTGTATGGCCGAGTTGGTTCGGCCGACACAACAGCCCACACTGTCCGCAGTCGGTCCGATGGCTGTAAAACAACCGCTCCTGTAATAATAATGTAATGTGCCAGTCGCGGTAGTGCTCTTATTGAAATTAAAACCACAGTTTTTTTTTTTTGTTTTCGTTTCCTTCCGATGAGATGCATTCAGTTATAATAATATTATTATTTTACACGCCAACGACGACGTCATTATCATCACTATCCGAGCGATCGAATTTTGTTCGACTGCCGCGGCCGTTCCCTCGAGTCCGGGTTTTTGTTTTCTCCCCTCTCTTTCCCTATCTCTCTCTCTCTCTCTTACTCCCCCTCTCTCTCTTTCAAAAATGCATCGACCGACTTCTTGGTTTACAAGACGCGTGCCGCGTTATTATAATTTATAGTACAACAATGTAATAAGCGCTCAATTAAATCCGTGAGCGAACACAATCAAAGGCCGTTCGAAATTGGAGGAACACGATATTTCCTGGGAAAGGTTGCTTTTATACAATATACTCCGCCTTATATTATTATATTATCCACCCTAATTGGCTGGATCCGGTGTTCGTTATACGAAATTATATTTGGACCTGTATAAATTACGATTGAGGTGATTGGTGGTAAACCTATTGGATACCTACTGTAGAAATAAATAATCGAGATATACCATACAGGTATATCCCTTGAAAAAAATTAGACAAAATGCTATTCACTAATGTAACGATATTGCATTATAATCATTAATTACACTACGCGAGACTTCTTTATAAAACTGTTGATTCGTTTTTTTATAAAATTATTCATCCGTGAGATATTTTGTAATATTGAATACTTGTGTACCTACACGTAACTACACCTTACTAGTATTATTTAATATTAACAACCCATATGTATATTATCTAATTTAATTGTTGAGCTGTAATAGTTTAGTACAGAAAACTATAAAAATAAATAAAAAATGTTGGTTTAATGTTTTATTTGATAATAATTATTATAAATTACGGGAAGCTTACTTTGATAATATAGCTCATGAAAAAATGCTAACGTTTTACAATGTTTCTATTACGAATCGAAACTTATATTTAAAATCAGTTTAAAAAAAACAATTGCTGGTTTCAATATTTAACGATATCATCAATATTCATTAATCTCATACGAAATTGTTAATTTTTAATTGGAAATATAGAAATATAGTATTTCAATTGTAGATTTTAATTGGCTATTATTGTTGTCTACATTGGATATCATTTAAAAGTTGCAGGGTTTATAACCATGTGTATAGTATATCTATGTAAATTCGAATTAATGATTAATGAAATATTATGAGCAATATATTTTTTATTCAGCTCAGATTCATGGCACAATTGCCTATATTAAAATAAATATCAGAATTTCTTTGATTGGCATGATTTCAGTTTTAATTTCGACTAAGAAATTTTCATCGATATTTTCAGAAAAACTTTTTAGAATATTTTATATTTGTAAATAAGTTTTATAGCACTTTTTATCAACATACAATTTATTAGAACTTTGAAAACAACAATTTCCTAGAAATGTCAATCACATCCAATAATATATTTAGGGACTCGTACACGAGTGTTTGAGAAATTTGAAAACTCAAATGAATTTCGTCGATCTTTGTTCGATTTCTACTTATTGCATTTTGACTGTAATTGGAAACTATATATACTTCTAGTACCTTTACGTGAAAACTAAAAATTATTTTCATTTGAACCACTTGAATAATAGAATTGAAAAAAATAAGAAAGCGGACATTCCTTACACGTAGGTAGTGTATGCAGTTAACGATTTAGGGAGTGCTATTGTCTTGAGTTGTCCAAAAGAGTGGCAGCAGGTGTGTTATCATAATTACATTTTAAATCGAATGTAATAGTATTTGAAAGATGATTCCGAGATGTCTGTTTATCATATATAATATAGTGCCTTAAAATAATGTTATTAAAAAAAGTGCCATGCGTTTATTTTACTCCATGGCATATTATGTAGTTAGCATTATACATTTATAAATAATATTTATATTAAATGTTTTCTTTATAATAAAATGAAACAAAATATGATCAATGTAGTTTTAATTCATTAAATGTATATACAATATACAAAAATTCAAATTTTAAATTCTTTCGACGACTTTTTTGAAACGTTTTTATGATTTTTGAAATAAAGTATACAATTGTATATAAATAATACCTAATTAATTGTAGTATCTTGTAGTGTAGGTATTGTATTTAATGTAGGTATTGAAAATTAAAGTATTAGTTTTTTTATTTAAACAACAAATAAAAATATGGTTTATGGTATAAGGTACCTAAGGATAAAACATCACTTATGTTAACTGCGTCGCATGATAAAACTTCTTTCAATGATTCTTGAATTAATATATTATTAATCTAATATTTGGAACCCTCAATTTGTTTCAAAAAAAATATAAATTGAGATTCATCTATATCATTATCATAATATTTATTTCCATGTTAACTACAGTGATTTTCGTAAAATAAATAGGAGCTTCAATCACTTGTCAGTTTCCGTCAACTACTAAGTACAACATTTGAAAGTCTTTTTGTTTGTTGATTTACCTATGACCGTGACTAAGACAAACGACGGAAAGATAACTAAAAAAGTCTAGCAACATTACGAGGTATTCTCAAAAAGAATTGTGTAAAAAAACTGTTTACTTCAAATACAATTTAAAAAATATTTTGGCGCGTATTTGTGAAAAGCTATACGCATGATGATCGAGAACAGCGCTCTAGGCAAGGATGGTTAGTTGGTTCAAATACTTTCTTATAACATGGAAAGTATTTAAATGTATTTACTGTACACATTTATTTACTATACTATAATATATAAATATCATGATAACCCCTCCCCCCATATTAAATTCCTGTATACTCACTCATCGAGGACCCCAGTTGTATTCCAAATTATCCTTTGAAATGGATACGGAATGAAGAAATTGGGGTTATAAAGAAGAACGTGGCTATGTGTATAATAATAATGCGTAATACGAGTAGAAAGGTTCGACGATGATCTATTGACTACGACTTATTGATCACAAATAACGGTAATCTAAGATATCGGAAAAAGACGAAACAATGCAAGACATCCAAAGTTTGGTTGCATTACGTGTAATTGCAATCCCATCGTCGGACAAATGTCCAGTAACTGTAGTCCATTGTCCGATGAGATTAAAAGGGTTTTTTTCCTTTTCTTCTCAGAATTAGAACAGATCAATGAACTTTCCAGTTGTATTATTTTTCTGGACGTAAATAGATAGACGTTATCTCCGAAAATATACCTACTGTTAGTTGTAGAAATGATTTTCAATGCAATAAGAAGAGACGTTTGACCGTAAGCTATTCACTATAATTAAGCAACTATTGAAGCTAGGTGCCTATATATATGTATAGTTTATCATATAAGATTATATGTATTTTTATTACTCAAACATTTTTCATTCATTGTTGAAACGATTGTATTCAAAGAATTTTCCATGTATATATAATTATGGGCTTTAGTTTAGTGACCATTAATAACATATAATTTAATGAAATCACTACAACTTTTCTAGTTATAAATTGTTTCCTATGGTCAATTGAGGATCAGATAAGTAGAACTTATAGATTCTGAGAGCAGCGATTGGTATAAACATATTTAATAGTGTTTGTTTTCTTTGTATTACTATTATTATTTTCTTTTTATATCTCAGGATATAATATATATTTCTATTATTTGATAATCAAAATAACATAGGTACTTTCTTGACTCTCGAAAAGGGTTTCCTATTTCTAATGTTTTTTAATTTAAATTTTATTCATATTTTGGATAGTTTACTTTAAAATAGTGATAGTAAATAATTTATTGATGCAAAATGCTAATTAGTGGCATTGATAGACGCGGTGTATTGAATTATGAACTCGTATTCATTCAAATCCTTACTCAAAAACACTCCATGATAAGTAATTTAATTTTTATCATTAAAATATTTACTGATTCAGACTTAACTTTACATTGAATTAACATTTATAAAAAAAAAAAATTGAAATGTAACTATGACTTAAGCCTCGTATTAATTAAAACTAAAAATATTTTCATATTAGTTTATTTTTAAAATGAATATTCAATCGTCTATCTATTTTATTTTGTTCTTCTGAACTTTACACATTATTATTTTAATTTGTACCTACCATTACAGTTGTTTAATTAAAATAAATCATTAACTGTGTACAGTTTAAAATAGTTATAAGTACCTAATATAATATAGTTCTAAGATAGATATTTACATTATATCTATTATATTACAACTTTTAACTTTAGAAGAGGAGAAATAAACATTTTTTAAACAGTTTATTTCTTTATTTACTGTTTATTAACTGAAGCTGTATTTTAGATACTTGTAACTACTCTTTAAAATTAGTTGTACGTGAAAACCACTGAGACATGGGCTTGATCTTATTTCAAAAACCATGTAGCACGATGAAGGAGGTTGTTTTATTTGTAATTCTCGTTTTCAGCAGAATGCTTCATTATTCTGGACTGGCGAGTTTCTCCATTTCGAAACATCGGACAAAAAACAATTAATCAGCTTGACAGGGGCGATTTTTATAAACATAATTCTATACATCTTTGTAATTGTATAAGATTAGGCCTAGACGGCAAAGGTAATCTTTGAATGCCAATTTGCTGTTTTCAAGAATGACCACGAATGGTATTGAAATTTAATGACAGCAACAAAATCTGTATACAACCCCTATGATAAAATATGGTTGACGTGAGTATTAACTGTAATGTAGGTAGGTAGGTACTCTAAAACATTATTGATTTAGGGCTTAACATCCTATGTTAACACACGTGCCATTTAACGGAATTATTTGCCAAGAACCGTATATTTAGTAGGTATCCATCTGATATACTTCCCTTTTAAACGAAAACCACACCCAAGGAACTCTAAAGCACTTTGATGGATATTTTTTAAGTTTATTTTTCTGAAACAATCTTATGAAAGTTTAAGAATAGCGAGTGTCCTTGTATTGATATAGTTGCGTGTCGTCCGACCAATCTACTATTGTCGAAATGAATTAACCACAGCTATGGTTTGATCTCAAATAATCGATTATAGGTAAGTAAGATTATTACATTAAAATCGGTACTTATAATATATAATACAACAAGTTCTAATTTAGACATTGTTTTAAAAACATTGAGCTGTGAATTATCCAAATGTCCAAATAAAAATAGTAACATTATAATGGAAATTAAATAGGTTGCATAGCTTTGCCGCTTTTGGAATTGGTTGGATTAATTTGTGCGTAATGAACTTTTCGAGAGATTCTATTCGAGTTTTCAATTCACTTAAACTCAACTATATTGAATAGGGCTAAGAAATGTTAATGACATTATACTCTATTGTAGCTCCTCGGACAATTTGTAGTTATGCGGCGATCCCGATATAACTATTTGATGGTAGTTGACATTTTGTAAGCCTTTATATTAAAATTATATTTATTAAAGTGCAACAACAATTGCATTTTTGTACATACAATATTGTATAAGTATAATCATAGTAATGTGTTTTTTAAGTAATAAATTATTACTTAACAAATTGTTAATATTTCTAAAATTGATTTATTGATCAAATCCCAGCAACAACATTCATACAAATGTATTTTGTGAGACCACCCATGTTGAGTATGTCTAAATATTAATTAAACATACATATTTAATATATTTTTTTATATGTATAAACATCATTCTTAACGTACATTACAATATTATATGACTTTTTGTTTGCTGCAAATATGTACATATTATTATTTTAAGGACGCGTCGCGAATCGGAGGGACTTTCAGATGAAACTTTTTATTAAAACTCTTAGACTTTAAATTAAAATTAAATAATATAAAATATATTGTATTATATATCAGGGCCTGGAATCAATATTTACATTATCAAGCCAGGAAATGGATTAATAAGAATACATTTTTAATGGTATCTATTTTCGTCTTTCGTGAATATGGTTTTCAAGTAGTTGCATATGATATACATAAAAAATTTAACTCATTAAGATATTTTGTTTAAAAAATATACATATATATATATATATATATATTTTTTTTTTTGTATTGATCTTAAACGCACGGCAATTATGGCAATTAGCATTTATAGGGGGATACGGTTGATTCGGAACACTTGTATTTGTGGCGAGGATTTGTCACTAAAACACATGTGGTCACCCATCCAAGAACTAGTGACATCGGTCGATTCTTACACTCAGAACACGTTTTGTGACCGTGGACAATTATCACTGCACACCAGGACACAATAGTATATTTTATTATTTGTAGAATGTTACATAAACCACTCACTTATCCTATTGTAACCTGCAAATTGTAAAAATCTTTTAGTACAGTTTATGTTTCTTATTTTATTTAGGTAGATGTGACACACAATACTGAATGTAATAAATTATTAAATTTATTATAATCGTATTTAACCAAAAACTATAAATTCAACTAGAGTACGTCATCTAATTTGAAAAAAAGGCTAGTACGATACTTAAAACAAACCAAAAAAAAATTATTTTTTCTCTGAAAATTCTTTAAAAATAAGGTAGTATTGGTACTTATAAATTGGTATTAGAGATTTATTAGAATTATTTTTTCCAACTTGACATAATGTAAATCACAAATATTCTAATGATACGTATTAAATGAATATTGATTACTGTACCTACATCGTGTAGTATTGCGACGGAATATTTGTATAATTTAAAGCTATTTGTAACTAACTATTAATTTCAATTTATTTCTTAATAATATGAAATATGAATATATTATGTATCTAATATTACTCATATTCTGTTTCAGAGAACTTTGTGCTGGCTTGGAAAAAAGGAATAGCAATTTTGACAGCTGGTACAACTAAGGTGACCCCGGAAGAACGTATCCGGATCGTCGAAGGATACAATTTGGAGATCCGCAACGTGCAAATCAACGACGCTGGCAATTACATATGCCAGATTGGAACACTTGAACCAGTAGAGTTAAAACACACGCTGCAAATACTCAGTAAGCATAAATATTGTCTTATTGCCTTCATTTGCTCTTAATAATATCAAGATGAATGATGATATATCGAATTTTCAACCTATAAAATTATCTTATTAACGTATTATTATTCGTACGAATAATGAACACTTTTGTCAGAAAACGTAGAAAGTTTTTTTTTAGTAAGATAATTGTACCGTCATAATAGTTATGTAATTATTTCACTTGAATAAATTGATTACAAGTTTTTGTTTAAACATTATAATATTATTATCTTTCACGTTTGAAGCCAGTTAATAACGCACAATAATGTTCATGATTGTATTCGTCTGATTGAAAAATCCAAAGTTACATTTTCTATAAAGAAAAAAATAATTTATGCAACGTTTATTATCGAACAAGAAGTAAATAATTAAAATATACCTATTAGTCAAGTGTGAGGTACGAAAAAGAAAAATTTGAAAATTAAAACAGGAATATCACAAATCAATATTTTTCATTAAATATACTTCAAATATCATTTAAACTATATTATTTTTAACTTTATTGAAGTAATAGTAAATACCTAATACATTTTGCTTTTATCGAAAGTTGCTTTTGAACACACAAGGAACGAACAACGTGCACACTGGTGCTGCATCAAGTTATGTTAGTGAAAATATGAGCAATATTATAATATTATATTATATTTAAATAGTATATTCGTATATAAATAATTGTTATGATAGTTTTATACTTAAAGTTTGTTGAGTACTCAAGTGAGATTGTACTAGAATCTATTATTGTGGATAGACACCTAGTATTGACTCTAACACCACACTGGCTAATTACAATAATTATTGTACTAGTGTAAATAAAAATATACATTCACAACCGCAATGTTCCTAATTTCTCTATCAAACACGCCGTGTAACTCTAATTTTTTTTGAAAAGAAATGAAACAATTTCATACCTATTATTTATATCTTATTATAAAATAAGTATTCAATAAGAAAAAATAGACCTAATAGTTAAACCAACGCCATAGAGACGAGAGAAATGAAAAGTTGAGTTACTTAATACGCATATACCTAAATAACTCAGTGGTTGTATTTATTAAAATTGTATCATATTCAATAAACACTAGTATTAAACTCTTTTCTGTTTCGGTCGTTCCGAAATAAAGTTTCAAAACAATTTGTCCATTGTGGAAAACATCATCAGAAACAGAAGTTAATGAAATATTTAATAGTTATTATAGAAATGGATACTTTTTTTTCTCTTGGTTTATGCTGTACATACATACTTTAATTGAATTATTTCCTAATTTGATTGAAAAATAATAACGATAGTAAAAAAAACCACTTCTAAGTTGTACTTGTTTTACACATAATTACATAATTTCTTTTATTTTTATGAGGAAGGTATTCATTTGTCATCAAGAATTATAAAATCACTTAACTTTTTATGATATTATTTTATTCAGCATACTAATATGTACTGTATGTAGTGGCATACTTATTTAGTTTGAATAATCTGTGATGACTGGTGAACAATGTACAGTAACAAAATATAAAAAAAAATGTAAAAATTAAATTAATAATTATAATAATTGTATATGCCAATCATCATAATTATTTTCCTTCATAAAACTTACTGAGCAATGATTAAATGTCATAAAATTAAACCAGTGAAGCAAGGATAATTTTTCAATTTAAATAAAAATTAAATGATTTTTATCAAAAAAATCTAATTTATTACGTTGCGACATTTAACATTACTAATTGTAACAGTATTCATTAAAGTAGCATACAATGTGTCCAGAATTGATATTTATTTTCTTACAAATCACAGTTACATTTGATAAAATATTATACCAAAAATAAAGAAAACGTCAATGGTAAATAATATCCGTACCTACATAGTATATAGTATTGACATTTAGTTTTAGAAAATGTCGCATACGAAACACCTAAGTAAATCATGTCACGTTCTGGGTGTTTTATTATAAATCTTACAATAGTAAGACTACAATAGTATAGTCAACATCTGTTGGATGAAAGGTATGGTATTTTTTTTTTCAACAAAAAAAATTAACGAAAAAAAATCATAAAATATATGAAGCGAAAAACAATACATTGCAAACTTGTACAAAGCATAATTCAACGAATTTACAAAAACCTGATAGTTGTGGTGAATTGAATGATGGCCATTGCGGCCAAGTACATTTTGGTTTTACGTTTCTATTTACATAGATTAAAGGCCATTTGTAGGTACAACATGGTACAATGCGACATATGTTACAGTAATATTTCATAGCAATAAATGTAGTGCAATCGTTTTCATAAACAAGTACAAGCAATTATCTGATAAAACAATCATTTTGCAATAACTCGTTTTTATTATCGTCCTAAAATTTAAATACGATAAAACGATTCAAAACTACTTCAACACATAATGGATATCATCATTGGGATAGTTGTAAATGTTAATTACAGTAAACTACAGTTGAGTATACATTAAGTTGTGGTTCTTTAACTCGTGACTCAACAAATGAAATATAGTTTTATACAGACCGGCGACAAAATACAACAAATAGTTTTATTTCTTAGAGTGTACAATTTATTAGCTGTATCATTCAACAATCTAAATATTTTTAAAAGTGAAATAATGTATTTTGTATAATATGTTAACAGTGTTTTGATAAAAATGTATTAATTGTGTAATATAGTTTTCCAAGTTAAAATATTTAAAAACCTTCGAAATCGAAAGTTCATATTCTTAAAAATAATTTTCAAATAAAACACAAAAAGTTTAATTTATGATAAAATCGAACACCGTAGATCATGATTTACTTTCAAATAATAATAAAGTGTGTGGATAGTCATTAGGCCCAAATAGTATTGTCCTTGTTAGCCCGGAAAATACATAGGTTGTGCTTGTGAGTGTGTGTGGAACGTAACGAAAGTGAAAGGATATAATATGCCGAACACCTTTTACGCTCAACCGCCCTTTCACCCTTAGCGAATCTGTTCTTTTGTCCAGTTGTCCGACAACCCCTGAGAGTACGAAATCCTCTTACGCTGTACACTCTTGCACAATTCGTTTGAGTTTATTTTCCTTTTGATACAATGAAACTAGTATTGTAAGTGTCTATAATGAGAAACGTGATCAGCGTGTATTTTATTTTGATAATAATATGCGAAAAATCGAAACACCGTATCTAATAATATATTACGCATTACGCAGATAAATTGTCACCGTTCGGTTTGAAACGCATTTATTGTATTTGATATTTATAGTTGGTATGTATATGCGTATAAAATAAGCTTGTATAATGTACAGTATTGGTCTTGTGTACGATACGGTCAAGTAGAATGTTAAATGTATAATTTAATATTTGGTCGTCATATCTGTCTTCTTTTGAACAAAATGACTTTTGAAACTTTCACAAAGTCGGGGATTAATGGAGGGGAAGGTGTGACAATCGAGTGTACAACTAACCATCTCATAGAAAGTTATTCTGGGTGTTGACTTGTTTTCAAAGTTTCACTATCAAATATAAAACGTACAAGTGAAAAACAAAAATAAAACAAATCTTTCACTTGATTTCGACATTTTTAGTTTCGATTAAATATTGATAAGTTTCAACGATAAGCCACATGCATAACATTATACTACATTATACAATAATATTTAAACGTGTAAATATTGTTTGAATTAAAGTTACATTAAATTTATTTTATTGGCATATTTTATTCTTTAATCATAATATACTTAAAATGCAAACATCATTAACATTAATTGTATAAGAAGTATAAAATCTGTTTGAATAAAAGAAATACCTACGCAAAGTATACGTTAACATTGAATACATTTAGCGCAATAACTCAAAAATAAAATATTACAAATTGTCATCCTAATTACATTTTCCATTGTCTTCCTGGTTTTTTTTCAGAATAACTACCACGTCCATTTTATTTTAATATTAATATTTTACAATTTATATGTTAAACTAATGTCAGTTCCAAACGAGAAAAAAATCTGTGCTCTTTCACAAGAGTAGTAAAAATTCAAATTATAGCACAATTATTCAGTTACCTGAAGTTGGGAAAATCCAGATTCTGGTGATTCGACTTAAAATACTTCGAGCGGAAATTTTCAAGATCTCTTAATATATAATCTTACCTGGATTAATTTTTCGTGAATATATATATTTTTTAATTTGTATTAATATTTTAATTAAAATAGTATTAATATTTAACAATAAAATGGAGTTAAATATTCACACAATTATATTTTAAAGTGGCTCCAAGATATCATAAATTAAACTAAAAATCTCCTTTAATTTATAATTAAAAAAGTGTTTATTCCAAAAGGTTTTTAAATTTGTTGGCTTTGTGTTTGTCAACTCTAAATATTCGTATATAATCCAAAGATAATAGAGTTAAACATATTTATGAATTACTATTACCAATATACTTTATTTCTATAACCAATATATAATTATCAATTTATAATATTTTAGACTATAATAACTAAGTACTATTAATAAATTATTTGGTATTATAACATGCAGATTTCCACTTATTTTTTTACAAATCATATCTTTGATATTTTTAACAAAATTTTTATTTTTCTTAGTAACAAAATCCTAGTTTTTTTCTAACTATTGTATGTACACAACTTTTTGATGTATATCACTATTTATTATTATATTATTCCGTGAGAAATAAAATAGAAACGTAAATAATAGCAAATTAAACAATAATTAACAAAAGAAAGATAAATTAGGTCAACACGAATGAAAAATAGTTACACTCATGCATACAGCAACTATATTTATGAATACATAAGTATTTATGAGACACGCATTTAGGTTTAAACTAATTAATTAATTGAATTGAAACACTTACCTACACCTTTTTGTATGTTTAAATTCTTAAGAGCTAAAATATAATATGTTAGGCTTGCTTCCATTCAACTAAAAAAACTAGATTTAAAAAAAAATGTTTATAAAAAATTTGAAAAAATATTAAATA